TTGCTCCATGTCTACTTCTGAAGTTTTCATGTTGATTCGTTTAGTAGTTCTTTGTGCAGCGCCCCCACAGGTGAGGGTGGGAACAGGTTGTTTACAGGGTTTAGTTGGGTTCAGAAAGTGCAGTGTGAGTTCAAACCACACCAACAGAAAATGTAAACAAAGCTTGCAGTTTTGGTCCCCAATCGAACAGAGTCTACCAGACTATCAGCTGTGAGTACGACCTAAAAGAACTTAGAGTAACTGAAGTAGAAAACCGAGGATTTGGGCTTAAGACAGGAATGAACCAATTGGTGGGCCGAACTTTGGTCATTCGTGGGCCACATCCAGCCCACGGGCCGTCAGTTGAATAGCCCTGATCTTTGTAATGGAAATAAGACTTTTTGTTGTAAGCCAGTAACTCATGACAAACTTTAATGATCCAGTTTGTAAATTTTCTGCTGTTGTTGTAAAATGATTATTTGAAAACTATGATGTCCAGAGACCAGATCAGACACATGGAGTACAGCAGGCTGTTCCAGGAGAAGCTGAATATTTGAGTTTGTGGTGTGGTGCTGTGTGTGTGTGTGTGTGTGTGGTGGTGCTGGTGGTGGTTGGTGTGTGTGTGTGTGTGGGGGGGGGGGGGGGACATTGGGTTATTATGGCCTCTTCTGGAAGTCTTGGAACAAACATTCTCCAGTTCCAACACCTGTTCTAAATATTTAAAAATAAAAGTAGAACTAAAAAGACTAAAACAGCACAGTTACTGTGGTGTTCTCCCAAACTATCCCTTTATTTGTGTTTATGTTCCATATTAGTTTCAATAAAGTTGTATTCATCTGTTTCTGTGTCTTTTGACAAATCCATCCTTAAAACCAGCAAGATTTAGGATTTTAGTCTTTCTCGACTCTAAACCTAACATCACAACCTGCTCAGTGTTTTAACAGTGAAGTACAGATCAAAGTGAAACGCCTGGTTTTAGACCATAACACGCCCCCTGCAGACAGCTTCCTCTTGCGTCCACAGTTAATCCTGTTGGATGTGGTTGGTCTTTCTTGGTGGTATGCTGACATTATCCTGGATACTGTGGCTCTTGATACATCACAAAGACTTGCTGTCTTGATCACAGATGCACCAGCAAGACGTGCACCAMCAATTTGTCCTCTTTTGAACTCTGATATGTCACCTATAATGTTTTGTGCATTGCAATATTTTGAGCCAAACTGTGCTCTTACCCTACTAACTGAAGCTTCACACTCTGCTCTTACTGGTGCAATGTGCAATTAATGAAGACTGGCCACCAGTCTGGTCCARTTTAGCCATGAAACCTCCCACCCTAAAATGACAGGTGTTTCAGTTTCATTGTCTAACTCCTGTATATAAAGTCATCTTTAAAGTACTGTAGTAATTTATAGTACAGAATCAGAACCTGGCGTGTTTGGGTTTCTTTAATCCCTTCAGCCATTGTTCCCTGGCCTACAGACAACAAAACCTGAACCACTTTTTAGATTTTTAAAATACTTATTTTAAATTATTGCTGTCTCGTGAGCACAATGCACTTTAATGCATTGAGCATGAGGTTTTTGTGTGTGTGTGTGTAACAGTGTGGTACTAATACTGTAAAACGAAAGTGATGTCTTTTGTGGATGCTTCTGTATCTTTGGTGCTTGCTGCAAACCAATTTCCCTTAAATTCAAATTCAGTAATTCAGATGTTTGTGTCCCACATCCGGCTGCTTGAGGAAGCCAACCAGGGTAATCAAACACAAAATATGAATTTTGAAACTGAAAGTGAAAACAAACTAAATTTTTAATAAACCAAAATACAGTTTAAAAGCAAATTACACAACTTTAAATTCAGTTTAAATTGAGTGAAATTCATTTTCAAACCAATGTGATCAATTTCAAATGATGCACATAGATTCAATGTGAGCAATTCAAATTCTACTCCTGCTGGCAAAGGATTCTGCCCATATGTGAATAAAAACTGAGCTGAGCTGAGAATAACAGGGATACTAAGCTGGACTTTACAGCTGCTCTCAGTCACGACACTTTGGAATGTCAGTCAGAGAGATTTGAACATGTTTTTTTAAATTACATGAAGCTAAGAAGCATGAAACTGGAGTCCAMTGACGCACAGGAAAAACATATAAACACCACCCAGAAAAGTCTCAGGCTTGGAAGCCCAATCCTGCCACTCAAAAGAAAAAAAAATGTCTAATGATATGTCATAATTATGAGATACAAAGTCATAATTGTGAGATAAAAAGTTATAATTTTGACTTTCAAAGTCATAATTTTGAGATGCAAAGTATCTCAAAATTATGACGTTAAAAGTCGAAATTATGACTGTCTCATAATTATGACATATCATTAGACAAATTATTTATTTTGAGTGGCGTAACTGGGCTTCCATACCAACTGTAGCACATCCTCATTATTATTATAGAATAATAAAACATGTAAGCAGAACCTGCATCTCACATCATTAAGGACATAAAGACCAGTTGTCCTTTTTCAGAGGAACTAGATTTGAAGGTTTTTTAAAAATAAAATATTTGTTTTAACTTTTAATAAAAAATGTTTGTTTTTATATTTATGAGTCTACTAATTCTAAATAGCTAGTGGAAATGAACTCTTGGAACTCAAGAGGATGAATATGTTTAGGGGTTTCAGCTGATGTTGACTACACTACAAAAACTGTCCATCTAACCAAGTTTTAAAATCTTATTTCAGCCAAAAAGTCTTTTTGATCTTGTTTTCAGACTGATTTACTAAACAAGAACTGATTGTGTAAGAATAATCATCTTGTTTTCAGAATGTGTAAGATTTATCTTGTTAGTCTGAATATTT